CTCTTTGCTCCGTATCCCCGAAACGGCAGGACCTGCTTTTGCCAAAAACTAATCAGCTCTTTTCCCTATCGATAGGAATCGAATGTTTTTTAAACCATTCAAATCGGTTGATCCGTGCGCCCGAAAACGTGACTGGAAATTTGTATCCATACATACATACACACACACACACATCCATTTTTTCTGAGGTATGCCAAAATGTTCAGAAACCTTCAAAACGTCGAGAAATGTAAAAATTTTCAATTCCGATTTTCGGCCCATTACAATAACTTACCCTACGGGAAGTTAAAAAAGAAAATTAAATGGTAATTTGGACATTTGTCTATGTGATAATACTGAAATACTGTCTTTAGTTATAAAACCAAATCATACAAGAAAAGGACGCGTGACACAACCATTCACAACCGAGGGTCGGTTGTGACAAGCATAAAAATAAGTTAAAAAATAATAGCTAAATACCTAAATGTTTTAAAACGACTTTTATTGTCAGAAATATGTAACAAAACACTATATAATCATTTAAACAAAGCTTATGAATGAAATATAACAATATATAATCAAATATAACTTTTTAAACAAGAAATCTGTGTGAAATCTTTTGTTTTCTTGTATTGAATTTTCATTTTTCTTTCTCTTTTGTATGTTAAAACTAATTGCTGGTAGTTAATTACAGTAGAAAAATAAACAAAGTGATCTATCTGTATACAAGTAACAGTAATTATTAAAAGAAATCGAACAAAAAAATTTATTCTTTAAGAGCAATTTGGTCAAGTGATCATTTTAGGGTAGGACGCTGATTCAACGCAATAATGGAAACTTGTTCCAACAAACATACTTCAACTTTAAAAAGTCACTACCGTAACCTGGCACAACGGTACCCAGTCTCCCTTACTGTTCAATGCGGCCGACACTGTAAACTGGTTAAATAATAGTAGGTGATATGCATCAGTACCTTGGTCATCTTTACTCGAGGTTATTGAAAGTTTATGATATTGGCGTCGAGTAAAAATCATTTACTAAAGGTTCAAATAACAACAATAGAAACATGTATAATAACTATGCTTTGTTTTGCAATTTGTTAATTAAATTGTTATTACCTTATCAATATGAACATTAACTCAAAATTCGAGTTTTTATGCAGTCGTTAATAATGAGTTATGCAAATAAATGATAATTGCACATACAATCGGTGTACATTTATCATTTATCATTTATCAGTAACCAAGGTCGATCGGTCTGTCAAACTCTCCTTAAAAAAGCAATGCGTGAACCGCCAATGTTTTATCAGTGCGTTGTGTTCGTGTTATTTTTGGCAAATTCAATTGAGATATTGGCCGCAAGGGAACTGCCCTTTCTTTTGCCTTGACTGTGTCATAGTATCCCCGCTGAGTACACATCGGCACGTTTCCCGTTTAGAGAGCAAACAAACCATGATGATTGACTGTATAAATACAAATTCGCTCATAGGCGCGAACTTTGTGGTTGGGCAGGTGGGGACGGGGTTAAAGGAGTTTGATTATCGGTAAAAATAACTTAAAAATTCATGACAAATTAAATATGTTAGATATCATGGTCATTAATAATAGAGATCTACTTTTTTCTGATATTTTTATTTTATTGCGCAAAAGTAGCGCATGTTAACTTATCATTTTTTAAAATTAAAATTAAAAAAGATAATTGCACTTTCGTTTAGATATTATATTAACAGTAGGTATAAATATTAAAATAATTGTATGTATAAATATGTATCTGCACAATACTACAAAAACTATCTCGAAAGTTCTAAAATGTGGTGCTGAAGGCGACTGAAGAAGATAAAGTGGACAGACAAGATAATAACAAATGAAGAATTGTAGAGAAGAGTGGGCAAAGAAAGGACTCTATTGTGCACGATTATTAAAAGGAAAGGAAACTGGACCGGACCCATTCTGCAAAAAGTGCTTCCTGTACGACTTGTCAAAGGTAATCCAGGACTGAGAGAAAAAAACACAGGACACTGAAAGCCTACGCACAGGAAGCATGGTATCAAAAGTTTTGAATGGAAAATGCATAAACTAGTATAAAAAAGTAATTAATGGTAATAAAATGTTGATGAAAATGATAAACCCAGGAAGAAAAAATCATTGATTTTTTTTCTCAAATGCTCTCAAATCATAGATATGCCTTCGGGCAGATTAACATTATTATAATTACCTACCATAATATTCTCTAATTGTAAGACTCAATTTTTTTAGTACGCCTATGTGTTCACTAGCAGCCACATATTATATAAATTGTACGTAACTCTTGCGATAAAATGATATGCAGTATAATTGAATTACACGACTGAAATATGAGTCTACTTGAGAAAAGTGGAGTCGACGCGTGTCTAGTTGATTTGAAATACATGTACCAAATATAAGCATTGAGGTGAAATATGTACTCGTAAGTGCTATAGTGAATATAGTGAGAAGTGGAAGAAGTCATTTACCTAAAAATAATAAATAAAGCTATTCTTCAAGCATCATCGAATTTATTATAATATTATAAAAATGCTTACATTCCGATTATGTTGGATGATATAGAGTTTATTGGATGTGGTATTACTTGGAAGATATTGCCCATGTAACTTTTATCTTTCGTTTATAAGACTTTTAGATGTAAAAAAAGACAACATTGGGATTTTATAACAGTTGAAACATAAAAATGTTTAATTGCTTTTTGAAAAATTATGTCTTGATTTGAATGTTACAGTTTATTCGATGAGATATAACTTAGAGACATTCACAATGTTTTGTTAAAAAGATTTTTAGATATTTTTTTTTTATTATTATTTTTTTTAAATTTTATTTTCAATAGCAATCAGAATACATGACATTTTTAGATATTTATTTTTTTATTTATTTATACGCCAATCGGCTTTATGATATGTCTTGATTTGGATATTACAGTTTATTCGATGAGATATAACTTAGAGACATTCACAATGTTTTGTTAAAAAGATTTTTAGATATTTTTTTTTTTTTATTATTATTATTTTTTTTAATTTTATTTTCAATAGCAATCAGAATACAGGACATTTTTAGATATTTATTTTTTTATTTATTTATACGCCAATCGGCTTTATGATATGTCTTGATTTGGATATTACAGTTTATTCGATGAGATATAACTTAGAGACATTCACAATGTTTTGTTAAAAAGATTTTTAGATATTTTTTTTTTTTAATTTTTTTTTTTTAATTTTATTTTCAATAGCAATCAGAAGACATGACATTTTTAGATATTTATTTATTTATTTATTTATACGCCAATCGGCTATATGAAAAGAAATAAAATATCATTGGGTTTTTAAAACAGTGGAAACGTATTAACGTTTTAGTACCTATTGAAATATTGTATCTAGAGATAGATAATACAGTATAGTTTATAAGATTTTTAGATATAAAGAGGAATATGACTTCATTGGGATTTTAAAACAGTTGTAGTACAAAAATGTTTTAGTGTTGAAACTTTATATCTAAAAATTCACAATAAATGTGTTTCTGACAATGAACGAGCATGCTCGCGAATCGATATTTTTGCCCTGAATCGCGGTTGGCAAACCGTCCCCGCGACCGTCCGCCTGATGTCGGTTCGCGTCTCACGCAGCGAACATAATCTCCGACGGAAATGGTGGAGATATAATCCCAGTTGAAAAGGCAACCGCTCTTTCTCTATCTTCCTTCATGAGGTCGTTTTCTATGTGTGCATAAAATATGTACAAACGCTATAAACGTGGTACATAGGTGTATATGAACCTATATATACAATATATAGGTACAGTTCTGCTCCGCTCTGCTCTTAAGTCAGCCTGCTCTTTATAGCGACAGTTCGTTCATATGGTTACGCTTCCTTGCTTTACTTTGGACTTTCTTGTGTCTACGCTAGCAGAAATTAATTTTCTGGGTCGTTTTCTAATTTTTTATATCATTTACTAACTAACATTCACATGAAGTTTTCACATACAAGCAAAATCTTGTACCTTTACTCCTAATGGTTAAAAAACATAATTCTACAAATAAATAAATTTTACAGTAAATAATCCTTTCTATGTTTAATTTTTTATAATATTTTCGATAATAGTCTATATTTTAGAAAAAGTCCTATTTTTTGGGATGCAATTGCGAAACATACTGATCTAGAACTAATATTTCCAATTTATTTTATCAGGAAGTTAAAATGATGTTAATCTTAAAATTCATAGTTCCAGTTTATTTTTACTTATAATGCTAATCACTTCAGCGGAATATACCTGCAAGCAATGTCTGAAATCTGTTAATTATTCTATCATCGCCCATATACAACTTACAAGTAGTATTTAAAATTTTCTTTTACTAAAAAACACCTTTTAAAATCATATTTTCTTTAATATACTTATGTAATAATACTATGGTATTAAATATTTTATATTTCTGAATCATTTTTTGAACTAGTTTTTGCAGTTATTCAAAAGGTTTGCATATATAATTGTTAAATGCAGATTGCTAATTAATATTCTCGTTATGCATTTATGCAGATGTGCTTATTATTATTTATTAAAGGTTTAACTCTTCTCGGTCTTTTCATTTGCATTTTATAACAAAGATTATACCGTAAGTAAGCGCCGTTTCATTTCATAGTTGCATTAAAAATTGTGTAATGTATGTGCAACAACACTTCATTTTAATGCTCACTCTTACTATGTGTTAATATTAGGTACATTATATGTAGTTGTAGAACTACTTATAAAAATGACTATTCTGAATTAGATTCATTTACATTGATACAGAAAACAAAAATATTTGATATTTGAGAGTAATTAGTGCGCATATGTTATTTTTATTAATCTGATAGATAGTCTTATATGCAGCTGAAACGTAAGAAACAATATCGAATTTTAATTGATAATTAATTTTGGTAAAATTTATCTGTTATGGTAGTATGTACTTACAATTACAACTGTTACAATATTATTATTAACATCTTAATGTAATCTTTAGGTGTAAACCCGCGAAAGCAAAGGAGAGAAAGGACAACATTCACCCGCGCTCAACTAGATGTTTTAGAATCTCTTTTTGGAAAAACGAGGTATCCTGATATATTTATGAGGGAAGAAGTAGCGCTGAAAATCAACCTACCAGAATCACGAGTACAGGTAAAAATTAATTAATTACTTAATTTTGTAAATTTATTATAATAGTTGGATTGCAAAATGTTATCGATTTCATAACTATAAATTTTATAGAGTTAATGCGATAGCTTGAAATATCAATTGTATATGGCGGTGATAAAAAATATCAGTTGCAGATGGTGCAAAATACACGAAAGCCTGTTTGAACTTCGAACCATTAACGAAAAATAAACAAAATCTCAGTTAGGGTTACATATACATCCTGTTCGGGTGACTATCATTCACGTTTTGGCGTCCTATGCCATCGGGCGACAATAAAAATAATAACACCCTCCCCACAGCGGAAAATCACAGCTCCTCGGTGTTATAAGTACGTTGTTCGCCCTTTTCCGCGTGAAACGCGAATCGTGATGCGTGTACAAACATAGTAGAAATCCATACGGACCATAAATCACGTTCTACCAGAACGGGCCCACACTCGTAGTCAGGCGTGCACAAATTATTTGTAGTAAGGGCCAGAAACTGTACTTTGTAGTGCAGACCTTTGGTTTAATACCTTGGACTTATGTATGTCTTAAAAGTAATAAAAAGATGTTTAAGCTTGAAATAAAATACGAAATAATTGAAATAAATAGCATTTATTCGCGATGTGTAAAATACAGGTTAAAATCAAAAGAATAGAATATTGTTTTTGTAAGTTTATCATATAGTTAGTCTTTCGATCTTAATATGTTGCAATTTTTATAATTGATATTACGCAGGCGTTAAATTGTTCAGAACATTATATTTTTTGAATGCTTTTCAGCGAAAAAGTTCAAAGTACGTTTTAATATCTGAACTTAAACCTTAAACCATTTTCAATATTACTCATAGTATAATAGTATTATAAAAATTAAATACGAAATATAACGTTTTTTTTATAATTTTATTTGAACAGCTATCAGAACTTATGGGTTCTATGAGCTGTTGTGCTTAATATCTTACAAACTACGTTTGTTTTATTACAGATGGCAACCCAAACAGTTGTCACATCTCTGTATGATAAATTTTTATTACAATCTCTGTAATAGGACAAGTATGGTGCAACAATGCCGGGCGAGGGCTTATTTTCACTTGGAAACATATTGCTATTTATATTTCCAAGTGAAAATCGTTATCAATGTTGCCTGACAACAGGCTGCTCGAAGTGGGTACCGAGTAACCGGCTCGAACCCGGGACCTCTGAAACAAGTCCCGTCGCTACCTACCTACCTACGAGCGAGCCCAAATATAACATTGTGCCTATTTATGTCTAAAGATTTATTTTTTTCAATTGCGAAAGAATTTCAAATTAGATAATATATTGGAACTATTTAATATTTCATCGAGTACCATACTAAAAGATGCTTATAAAAATCAAGAATAAAAGATATATGCTTACAAAAGTTTATGATGGTTGTACCATTTTTACTCATAATTTTCGCGTTCATTATAAATCGCAAAATTTAATTATCTCAACGAAGATTTTGTATAGTATAACTAATTTTTCTAAAACCACCTACTAATAATAGATAATAGATAATATTAATAATGACTTCTCTTCCGGAAGAAACAATCATTTTTCGTTTTATTTCATGGTTTCATATCCTATGCTATAAATTTCGATTCTCTCAATATTATTTGAAACATCAATCTTAGTAATAGTCATAATTTTATGGATTCATATAATTTAGCCTATATTAATTTTATAGCCAGCTCAAGTAACTTTTTAAAATTTTTAATTGCATTCGTTTTCTGTGTGTAAATATGATCTTTAATAATATCTGTATTGATATATTTGTAATGAATTACGTTTTAATTATATTTTTTAAACCCAATATATATAATATAGGTACATATATCATATAATAGGGTTTAGCGGTGCTTAAAGGTCCGCGGGTTAAAAGGTCCACCTCCTATATCTCAAAAACAAGTAAAGCTTTAGTTTTACAAAAAAAAATATTAACAATATTTGAAAGTAGAGGAAAATGGATATACCTTGATTCTTACGACTCTGCAATCAGATCAATGGCAAGGTTCGAAAATCTATAACAAATGTATTTTTTTCTTTGTTAACTGTGAGCACTGTTGTTTAGTTTACGAGACCTTAATATAATTTTTAAGTATTCGTTGTTTAATTGTTTTATAAGATGTATTGTTAATATTAAGTTAGACTCAACAATATGATTCAACATTCATTCGACTGATGTGTCTCACAATTTTTAAATTTAGCAGCATATTTGTTGCCTAGTAATTTATTAGACATTATATACAAATAGTTTAAATAGTTTTAAATTATTTAAAATATTAAATAATTATGCTGATTATTCTATACAAACCAATTAAAGCTTTACAATGAGCTCACCTCAGCGTTTGTGCTTATTTACTGCCCATAGATCTTTGCTCTTTGCAGACCTCGCCTGGCATATACCTGCTTCGCGTACAATGTGTTCGCCGCTACGCGTAAATTCAAACGTCGTCGTCGTACAATAATTTACCGCCGTAATTTATTTATATGTAAATAAACGGCGATGGCTAGCCGCCTGACAACCGCCGCTCCTGATAACCATTGCCTGGCTCCCGGCCGTCAGGCAATCCGAAACGCAAACATAACTCGAAGTAACAATATAACGTTATAGCCTAAGCTCGGGAGATTCGTAATAATGCCTTCGGGACCAAACGCGCACATTATTTCTAATGACTCTATTTAATAAGACCGGAACGAGGGAAGTGCTCTGACCCAAATCAAAATTATGAAATTAACTGTACAGAGGGTGTTGTGGCATTTATTTTTAATATTTATTTTCAAATGGTCTATAGTCATTGTTAGAGAAACAGATTCAGAGTGCACTATTTCGTATAATTTTAGATGATTTTGCTTATACTCAATTTAGCTTTCTTCACATAATTTTTATTTAATTGAAACGTGAGTTTTTTAATTAATATATAAATAAATTGTTTTCTTCTTGTTTTTATCACTTATCCATTTAATTTTATAAAGACCATTTTCGATCTATATATTTGGCATGCACTCTGGTCTACCTTGAACAAGTTGCTGCGTTTACTACACAGGGTGTTCCAGATCTCAACGTCAAGCTAGTTATTCATCATCATTATCATGAAAAAAATTTGAAAAATGATTATTCACGTAGTTTGAAAATGTGACCATTTTTCAGTTATTGTGGTGAACATTTATTAATTTTGTTTATTTAAGCTTTGAATCCATTACCGTAAATAATATTTCTAGGACCTCAGTAAATAATAATGACAAAAATGCACAATGTTTTCAAGAATTAAAACTTTTTGTTGAATTACGAAAGGAACTTTGAGGAGCTTTTCTTTATAAAAAATGTACTAAAGTGATTTTCATCATAAAGTGCATTTAGGATTGTAGAATGGTAAAAAACTTGATAATTTTATAATGAAAGATTTTAAATAACAAAATAAAAATCTAAAATTAACACGATTTTTGCAAGTAAATTTCACTCGCATTTGCTCACAATATTATCACCACATACGTTTCGGCTTAAAGTTGAGTTCTGGGATACCATGTATATTATATTATAAAATTATTATCGATACTAAATACTTATGATACATAGTTTGGGATGCACAATTTAAGATCCATCACTTGTCAAATTATGATTACTATTATTTATTTCTTTTTGAAATAATCAACTTCCCTCTTAACATAATTCGTGATTTCAAGCCATAGGTTTAAAACAAGTCAAGTAAGCAAGATTTAAAACAAGGTCAAGCCTACAAGTTTAAAATTCTTATTTGTTATTTTATTTTGAGAATAATGCATATTTTTAATATATAATTCATCTAATACTGATTACATTATTAAGTGTTTTTGACCGATGTCAGTAAATTTATGTAATTTTTTTTTTTTTTTATTGGTCTCGCTTACTCGAGTAGTTAGCCACCTATGTGAAAATTGAAGTGAAGTACTTGGTCGCGCCTGGGTTGGGAAAAGTCCTAAATGTAGTGGATCTTGCTTTATAATTGATATATCGATTTACGTCAGCATTGAAACTATATATATGAAAGGTATGTTTAAAATTGAAAATAGCCCATTTGCTTAAACTCAAGTTTCTCTAAATGGAGGTTTCTTCTAAATAGAAGTGCTTATCAAAGATCTAGTAAGTTATCAAAGTATTTCTAGTAATAATGAGAATGAGTAGCATTACCTTTCACCTTATGCAAACATAAATAATGTAATTCAACTATTTGAACTCTTGGTGTCGAACTATTCATCCTACACGAACCCCTATCATAAAGGAGAACATTACAACAAATTACCAGCCCTTAGCGTAGGAGGGTTCGCGTTTGATTTGATTAGAGAGCCAGGCTAAAGGCCATAATCGAGCACTGATAATACAAATACATGTGCATTCGTGTTGCCGGTTGCTTTATCAAATAAACGGGTTCTCGATGCTCTTTCGAGATATGCAAAGCTGTTTCTGATGTAACGCCAATTAATTCTATTAAATTCGGCACAAAAAGATTTTTGTTTGATAGGGGTATCAGATGAAATACTGAAGTAAATAGATAATGGGTCTGCTTCAGATAAATAGATTATTTTAATAAATATAATTTGTATTTTATGTTCTCTGCATATTATTTTCTACGACCTTGTATTTGACATTTCTAATTATTGTATGAATTAAGTTTTTATTTAAAAATATTATATATAAATATGCAGTTGCATCTGATCTGATCTGATGACATCAGAAGATGGCATTAATTGGTAGCATCGAAAGCGGCTAATAATTTTGATGATATTTGTTTTATTTTTCTCAGATAAATCCTAAGTCATTAGGAATAGAGTTCTTAAATTCTCGTCTGGAATAAATATTTCAGATATAGAAAGATCTAATGAACAACTAATAATAAACACATTTGGTTAAGACAAATAAACTAAAATGGATGGAATAGTTGAAACCGACTGAAAAAGTTCTACACTTCTAAAGAAATCTAGCAATTTTTTACTATCTATATTT